ATGGAAAGAAAAGGGTGGTTTCACTGGCTGGGCAGCCATCCTTCACGACTTTCGGTCCTCCTCAGCTCAGTACGCATGCAGAGCTGCCACTGAGGTGTGCTGCGTCCTTTTCCCACGCAGAGAGGGAAAACATCACACGSTCCTCTCTCGCTGCAGGAGCAAACACCGGGGCCCGGCTCTCTTTTCCCACTGCTCCCTGCTCCTCGGGGGGGCTGCCTCTCACTTGACCCCTGAGCACTCCCCAGTGAGAACAAAGCGTCGCTCACTCAGTGTTCTGGAGAGCCTTGGGAAACTCCCTCCTTCAAGCTACTGAAATCCAGAAGTAATAATTAACCAGCTAAAATGTTGCACTGTAATTGTAGCTGTGTGCCCTTCAAGGAGTGCATGCATGTTAAAAATATTTGTGTTTTAAGGCTCTTTCTTGAACTATACGTTTGCTCATATTGCGCTTTCAGCTGGAGAGATGAAAAGCTTCCTTTGAAAGATGCACAGGAGAATTAATCTGAACYGGCTAAAACTGTGAATGGGAAAAGGATGTAAATTAAAGGGGTGCAGGCTTGTTCCTTCAGAGTAAGGAAGCCCCTGGAGCAGGCAGGAGGCTGCACTCCCGCAGCCGGAGAGGAAATGGAGCTCGGTGCCATGGCTTATGGCCTTGGTAACAGGGTAAAACTGCACAAAGGAGTGAGCAGGGAAAATCCCAGCTCTCTTCTGACAGGACTGGAAAGTCCTGTTTGGAAAATTGGATGAGCAGACAGTCCTGGGAAAGTCTGAGCGCTGGATCATGGCAAGGGCAGGCAGTCAAACCTCCAGGGCATCAGGGGGAGTTTCTGTTTCAACCCCTCTGGACTTAAACTTCTTGCATTATGGCCTGATAAATGTGTCAGCATTTAAAGGGAACCTTTTGTTCCTGTTAACGCTTCAGAAAAGGGACAGGGAGGTGCGAGATGCCAGAGCTGCGAGCGGCATTTGCTGGGGAAGGGCAGAGCTGTCCGGGTCACGTCAGGGGGCAGGGCTTTGCCGCTCCTCATCCCTCGGGATGCTCTGCACTTCTCAATCTTCAGCCAAGCGCTCCTGCTGGGAGGGCACCAATGCTGGAAAAAGACCCTTCCATGAACAGAGGGTAGCCATTCCTCCAGGCAGAGATTCTTCCCTGCCACCCCTACACTCTGTTTTGCAATTCTTATTTCTAGGAACAACCMGATGCTTAATTATTTTCACAGCTCAGCTTCCACAGAAAAATGATCTGTGCTGGGCCTCTGCTTGGCCCACAGTYCACTATCATTAAAGATTTCCCATTAAAAGAAATGATTCTTGTCCTCCTCCTTGGAGATCACAGTGTCTTTCCCTGTTTTTGGGTTTTTGTTATTTTTTCTAGTTTCACCTTTTCCTTTCCTCACTCAATCATCTTGCTCATCCAAATCTGAACTGAAGCTCTGGGGCAAAGTCAGCAGCAGTGAGGCTGCCAGTCTTGGGGATAGGTTAAGGGTCCTGGTGACCTCTCTGCCTTCTGGGGCATCAAGTCCTGCAGGGGCAGGCAGGTAGATGTGTCCACCAGCTGCATGCAGGACACGTGGCTGCTAAACACTGTCTGTTGGCCCCTGCCTTCACCTGTAGTCCTTCTTCATGTGTAAAATGCTAATCAGTCAATAGGGACCCCTTYGTAATGTCAAAAGTCTGAAGGGAGGAGGAAGACAGCAAGGTTAAGGCCTCTAAGTTAGACCTCTCTCCATGCAGGAAGCAGAGACACCCACATCTGTGTGTCAACCAGCTCACCCAGCCCAAGCAGTGTGCAAGGAGCACATTTGTGCTGCCCCATGACCCCATGGCAGAATGAGCAGGTGGGGAGGATGGTGAAAGCTGTCTGCTCACGGCTGCAGAGATCAGGCTGGCACTGGAGCCAGAGGGAGAGTGAAGCCTCCCTGTGCATGTGCCTAGGTGCAGGGCTGCTTTTTGCCCTTGCTTTTTACACTTTCCAAAGCTGCAGGGAATGGCAGAGAAGAGTTCTGAATTGCTGGTGGAAAAATCAGGCCCTGGGCTCTGCTGTCCAATGTCTCCACCCTGGCAAGTCTGTATTTTATCTGTTCTTGAGGAATCCAGGGCTGATGCTGAGAAGGCTGCAAGGTGCTGAAGGTGGCATCTTGGTTGTGGTTGGGGTGAAAAAGGTTTACAGTGAGCTGGAATGTGAGGAGGGTGTGGAAGGAAATGAGGAGTTTTGTTCTTCGTGTGCAATATAAGGAAGTATGGGAATATCCCTTTGGGATTATCGCCGAGATTTACAAGAATGGGCAGCAGGGAAAGGCTGGAAACAAAAGTGTAACCTCATGCTGTGTAATGTAATGACGAGTGAATGAGTTGGTGCTGCAGGTGAAGAGGGAGGGGGGGACACGTGGAAAAGGAGGAAGGGAGAAAARAACAGGCAGAGGCAGATACGAGTGCCAAGGGCAATAAAAGCAGAGGACACAGGCATGGCAGGGGCTGAGGAAAGTGAGCAGGCTCATGGAGAGAGGACCAGTTAGGAAACTAAACCTGAGCTTCACAGGACCTCAACATGCAGCAGCATGGCTGCACCTGAAGCTTGCAGAGCCGCACAGGCCAGATGGCAAAGGTGCTGGGATGGAATTTTGAGYCCTGGATCAGTGTGGGGAGGCACTGGCAGTAGAAGCAAGAACAAGCTAGTGTGYTCTGCAAATAGCAGCCATGCTGTCTGAACAAATAAAAAAGGTGGTGCTGGAAGAATAAATGCATAAGGAGCTCTTGCTCTGTGTCCTACAAATGGGACCATGCAACATATCTGCCAGAGTGCCAAGAGGACAGCATGAAGGCAGGTCATTACCAAAACCACTCTCAGAGGATCTTTCTAAAGGCCTAGGTGTGGAAAGGGCAGACAGGGTGGACATGCAGCAGTTAAGGGCACACRTTCAAAACTGGGGGTGCCAGGGGATGTCCTGCAGTGGATAATCTTCCCATATCATCACGTAAACAGACAAAGCTCTCCAGTGAGTAATCCTGCACTAGCAACGCACAAATACACAACATGTCCCAACCTATTTTGCTAACAAACATATTCTCACATTAATCTCTGTCTTCTTGCTTTACTCTGGTTCCTCTGCTTATGTTAGGTGGTTACTTTTGCATGATGGGTGGAGGCAAACAGTAGCAAAACCTGCATGTGGTATTTCAGCAATGATTTGTTTAGCTGCAAAACTTCCTCATACAGTAGAACATTTGCCTAATTTATTAAATCATTGCAGAATTCTTGTAAGCAGTGCCTTTCTAGAYACTGTTTGTCTAAATACTGCATTGGGCAGCAGAGAATATACCACTGCCTCTGAAACTACTTGRCCAGCCTGGTACTACTGATAAGTGCRTTTTTTCTCCATCCCTCTGGCCTTCAAATGAGAAGTATTTGCATTCAGATGGTATCTATTTAAATATTTGCATACCTGGTCCAGCCGTGTACACAAGGACTTTCAGTGCACTGATAGCTATAGCTGTTGAATGCCTCTGCAGGGCCTTGACAGCATTTCCAGCTCCTGTTTTGCAAGGGGAAACTGAAATGAGGAACATTGCCGTTTCCATTTCCAGCTGTGGAATCACTTGGGATTTGCTGGTGAAAAACCTGTAGCAGCAAGTGAGCAAACTCCCACAGTCACTACTCTCACAGTCACTAATCTCAGCTCAGATTTTGTGGCTGGTCAGAGTGCAGGGTGAGTTCCCAACAAGAAGGTTTTGGCAGATTCTTATCCAGTCCCACAAYTGGAAAATGCAGGTTTGCAATGCAGATGTGGCTGTGTCTGCCAGAAGGAAATTTCAGTGCAGATACCTGCGTCCTGCTCATGCAATGAGAGTAGAAGAGAAACAAAAATTACTCCAGATGACAATTTTATATTATCCTTTCCACTGTGGTCTCTGGCTCCCATGCAAATTAGGAAGCTGCGGTGTTCTTCCTTGTATCAGYGAGCCCCTTAGAGCAGATCACATGTCAGGAGCCCTTCGGGAAGAGCAGGGCAGAAAAAGGAATGGGTGTCCCTGAGCAACCTGGGGCCACAGTGTTCTCCAACAGCCTGAGCTGGGCCAGGTGCCAGCAGCACAGAATTCCCCTGGCCAACACTCTTGGCAGATTTCCATCCTGCGTCAGCAGCTCTGCTGCTCCCATCTCCATCCAGGRTGTACGGCATAAACAGGGYATGGACACCCTTTACACAACCCATCCTTTACACGGACACACAACCAGCTCAAAAATCTGTGGCTGGAAGTACTCCTGCACTGTGATGCACTGCCAGCAGATAAGTAAGTGGAGGAGAGGATTTGGGCAAAGTGATTCTGTCTGCCTGAATGCTGGAGAGAAACCGGAGGAGTAACTGAAGCGGTAAAAGCCACATCCTTCACTGCTGTGGATTGGACAGAGCTGTAGCTCCTGCAGTGGTGATGCCCCGTGCCTGAAGCTCAAGGCACGCAAGGCAGCAGCACGTGTCCTGTGTCCCGGGAGGTGTTCCCTCTTCCCACGGAAATCCCCTTTGGAAATTCCAAAGGTGTCACAGTTCAAACCGAAGCTGGGCCAGGTGATAAACAAGAGGTGAGCAGACATGGGGCTGTGCTGCAAAATTCCAGCCTCCCCTGGAAAGAGCTACAAAGTATTGGAGCTGGAACAAAAAGTGCCATGAGGGCAGGGGGGTGGGTGCTGCCAAAACCAACCTAAAAACCCCTCTCTAGTGGGCTGGCAGCCTTGTGCTGGGAGAGAGGGGGAATCCCAGCACCACAATCCGCCTGCTGCAGCGGGTGCAGGAAACAACACCTACGTYTGCTTCCAAAATTAGCTGCAGCAGAAGGGCTGAGAGCTGCAAGCTGCTTAGATGTCTTATCACTTCTGAGGTGAATCACCTAAAACCCAAGACTGTGACCCCAYTGGGCTACTAGGTGTTACATGTTTCTTAAAAAGCAAACCAGGTGGATTCCCACGATCTCAGGGAGATGGGCAATGAACCATTTCACAGACTAGGTATGGCAATTTGACTTTTTTTAATAAATACATAGCTCACATGTAACAAAATAATTAAAAACAAAGAATGTACAKTATTTACACAATATACAATTGCTAAAAAGTGTAGCAATTATGACACACATGGTGTGAAACACACTTTTCCAATGCCCACAGTTAACACTATTGCTACTTTCTCCTAAGAACCAAGAGGTCACCAGTCCCTTGGTCTCACTCCTCAACCTGGGACGCCCCACGGAGAGCAGCTGAGGTCAGTTAGTAAGGACCGCACTGCCACCAGCCCAACGCAAATTAACACGCAGAGTCTCTGAGAAGGGGTGCTGGCAGGAGTCCACCTTGCCACGGAAGGACATGTTCCCTCTAGTACTTAATGCCACAAGAAAGCTCCCTGTAATGAGCAGGTTGGATGTGCAGTCTGTTACCTTCGCAGGGCTGAGAAGATTGGCTATGTGGCTCTTTATCAAGTGGTGTGAATAATCACAGATTTGTACTGATGTTACACATCCCACTCCTGTATTTAAACACAAGGCAGATTCTGGAACTGTCCTGTTACAATTATGCGCTCCTYCTCCTTGCTGGGCAGCGTAGCATTTCCTTTCTCTTTTTTCTCTCCACACTGTGACTTTCTTTTTAAATGAAGAAAGTCAGTCCTTTTTCTATATGCATAGTCACTTCTTTTCACAGAAAACTCTGCTTTAAAAAGCTAGCTGTCGTCCTCCAATAAGGCAGTCATCATATATAAGCTACAAGAAAAAAAAAAAAAAAAGCTGTTAATGCAAAAATCTTACTTAAAGTATCATATCCACTCYGGGATAACAGCCAAATTCTGCATGCCCAGACTTCAGCTGTGTATAAATTTCTATACCAAAATGGTTACATATACCATTTAATGCAGGACCCAGAATGTTAGAAAAACAAATGCTGGGGAGGAGAAAACCACCCACTAACTTGAATTTTATTACATGAGGTCCTGCGTCAGCCACAGAACGGTGCTCAGAGAACCATGTCACATGAAGTTAACCTCCATTTCCTCATGTTATTTTTTACATTTTATTCTTACTCTATTTATATGCTTGCCCCATCAGTCATTTTGCTGATTGTCGATAGCATAATCTTCTGTATACCTATCTGTTACACTGGGGCGTGCTATCAGAGCAACACAAAAAAAAACCCTACACAGGACAGGATTTTCCTCTTCTCCTGAAAAGGTGAAAMCAGCTACTTACTTCATCCTCTGTGAGTTCAGGCTCCGATTCACTGCTCTCTTCATCCTCACTTTCTGGCAACATCTGCAGGTCAGCTGTGGTCAGCTGCTTCAGCTGTTCCTGTATGCTTGCGTTGTYTCTTCCCCATGTGAGCTGATAGGGGGAATAGCCCTGATAGGTCACTTTGTTCACGTCTGCCCCATGTTTCACCAAAAGTGACACTAGGTCTGAGTTCTGCAGGTCGACTGCCAAATGTAGTGCTGTTCTGCCATTGCAYGGCTCCTGTGTGAAAATAGCATAAGGTTTAGCATGTTAGCAGAGGCACAGCCATTGTCCCATCTGTTGATTCTTAACACTACAGAGCCCCAYTCAGTTAAATTCATGGTACACATTACATACCTGTGCATTTACATCAGCTCCCAAGGAYAGCAGATACTCAACAATAGCCAGGTATCCTTGAATAGATGCCAAATGAAGACATGTATGTCCTGAAAAACATAAAAGGGAAAACTTGAGCAAGTCTAACTCAATGCCTCATCATTACTGAAAAGTCAAGATGATAGACCAGAATGATATCTAAATTTGCAATTCATCCATGGCAAAAGGGTGTTTTTCAGAAGAGCTTTCCAGCCCCCAGTGAGTATGAATAACAGGATTGGATTTTGGAAAGATTTCTTGGAAGTTTTATTCCAGTTTTTGACTGCAATTTATTAGAACCAAAAAAAGGAGGAGCATGGCACAGGTACTCACTAAAAATGCAAAATTCAAAGCCACGAGAGACTATAATCAACAGTGAGAAGGCCTATAAGACAGTTCCCTTTTAAAGAAATCAGACACTGCTGCATGCTTTGGGCTCCTCAACTCTCAAACGGRCATAATAATCCTTCCTCTGCTTCCCCAGATGTCTTTGAGATCTACTGGAGACCATCCTACCCTCAGCACAGCAGACCAAGATCAGGTGTTGAGGTGTGTGCCCGTACCATTGTAGTTGGTTGCCTGCAGGACAGCGAGGAGATGGTGTGGCTGGCAGTGCTGCGTGAGCACGCTGACGCTCCTGAGGGAGCCCTGCTGGCAGGCAATGTGCAGGGGGGTGTTTCCTCGGAAGTCCCTGATTTCCAGGTCACATCCGGCCTTCAGAAGATGCTCAGCGATTTCGGGCTGATCAGTTATCACTGCCAGGTGAAGAGGAGTCTGCAAGTGGAAGAGCAAAAGCAGACTGTAAGTTACATCACGAACTTGGCAGCAACACTGGACAAGCAGACCTCGATCACTTGGTGATTKGTGCCACCAAATAAAAGCACGCCCCATAAACTCAGTTCTTTGTGCTTCCCAAGTTGTTGTATAGTTGCCCATTCATCTGGAAGTGATGAACTTAGGGCTCTCTGGATAAACCAACAGTCAGTTGGTATGAAGGCTATCATTAACGTCTCTATAAAGAGGGATGCAAACCATTGCATCATATTTGAAAAATGCAGGCGTCAAATGCCACTCTCTCAGGGGAGAGGAAGCACTGTACCAATACCCGCTGGAACCAGCTGGGGACTTTCCTGAATGTAGGCTTTGATTCAATTGATTCCGTAAGTTAAAACAAAAAAACTTAAAAGGACTTTTTTGGGGGAATTCCCCAGAAGGATTGTGTGGGTGTGCCAGGGGCTGATCCGGATTTGGGGCTGTCGAGGTGAAAGTACCTGGCTGAGGTTGTTCTGGAAGTTCAGGAAAGCCCGGTCACCGGCTGCCTGCTGGATCACCTCCAGGCTCAGGGCTTTTTCCTCGTGAATAATGGCCAAGTGCAGAAAACTGAAGGGGGCAAAAAAGGAATAATGAAGCGAGACGCGTTATGCCCCCGACGCCACGCTGAGCCCCGGGAGGGCGGGCAGGCCCGGCCGGGTCACGCGCGGGTGTCGCAAGCCGGGGCTTTCGGCGAGGCCGGGGCTTTCCGCGGCCGCGGGAGCCGCCTCTCCCTGGCGCCGCTCCAGGGACTTTCCGCACCCCCTCCCTTCCCTCCCGGCGCGGCCCAGCCCGGCGCCGCCCCGCCGSCAGCACATCCTGTCCCGGACCGGCCGTGCTGACATCCCCACCGTGTCCCAACCACCCGTGCCCCTCTTCGACCCCCACTTACGTGTCCCCGTCCTCCGTCAGCTGCTGCGCCCAGGCGGGCGGCTCGCGGGGCTGCAGCCGTATGTCCTCCAGCTCCTTCACCAGCTGCCGGTACTCCTCCTCCTTCATGGAGTCCAGGCCGCTGTCGTGGCGGTCGTCGAGCGGGAAGGCGCCGGGCCGCTCCTTCTTGGGGTGCTCGTAGGCATCCATGGCGGGCGGCTCGGCGGCGCGGCGGGCGCTGATCATGGCGGCGGGGCTGCGGGAGCTGCGAGTGAGCGGCGGCGGCGGCGGCGCCTCGCATATACAGCGCGGCCGGGGGATTTCTGCGGGGGAGGAGCCGCCGAGGACGGGAATTTCCAGCCACTCAAAGCCCGACCGACGGGTCCGGTCCTGTTCGCCGCCGCGGGCGCTGGCAGGGAGGGCGGAGCGGCTCGGGCCGCCCAGAAGGGGCGTCGGAGGGGAGGAAAGAGGTGGGGCCGAGAGGSAACTTGGCGTTTTTCCATGGGGGAAGTACTCGCCTCTCCGGCGTCCCCGTCGGTACTTCCCTGCCGCGCYCTGGGGGATTTCCCTGCCCTGTCCTGCCCGATCCTGAGGCTCCCGATGCCTCCTCTCCTGCGGGGGTCCCCCTGCCCCTCGGGGCCCTTGTGCTCTGCGGGGCCCCTGAAGGCCGAGGAGCGCCTCAGTGCTGGGCACTGCTGGCCCTGATTGTGCCCTGCATCCCCTACTGACACCCCGTCAGTTTCCCAAGGGGGCTGCGGGATCACAGAATAATTTTTGTTGGAAGGGTTCTATGAAAAAGACTTTGTTTTTTTTTTTTTTTTTTTTTTTGCAGCTATTGTTGGCCTGCCTGAGTGTCGGCACTTTTCCACCCCTTTGTTTACTTTCCTATGGAATGGCATTCCTTTGAACAAAAACTTAGGAGGAAATAAAGGCCAATCTAGTCCAACCCCGCTGCCATAGGCAGGGGCATCTTCAACTGGATTAGAGCCCCATCCAACCTGACCTTTAATTTTTCCAGGGATTGGGCATCCACCACCTCTCTGGGCAGTCTCTAACTGTGTTTCACTATCCTCATTGTAAAAAAAGTCTTCCTTATAGCTAATCTAAATTGACCTTCCCCTGATTTAAAACCCTTACCACTTGTCCAATAGAAACAGGCCCGGCCAAAAAGCCTGTTCCCATCTTTTTTGTAGGCTCCCTTCATGCACTGCAAGGCCACAATATGGTTTTCCCAGGTCTCCAGCCAGAAGGCCAGGCCATAAGAATCTTAACACTCTTAGAAGCTTAGAAGCACCCACGAGGTGCAGTGTAGCATGACACTTCTCTCTTCCACAGTCTGCACAAGGACAGATCTCTGAGCCTGTGAGGATCATTTTGAGGTCTGATGAGAGGGACCACCTTAGGAGTCATTAACCAGCACTTGTCTAASGATCAGGAACAAGCTTTGTAGCGAGCCCAGGGCACCAAAGTCATGCTAAAAAGTCAGGGAGTCAAACACGACCAGAGGGATGCTGAGGCTGCTACTGCATCAGTACACTGCATGTGCYCTGCTTGGCTGGGGGTGTCGCTCCCTGGGGAGATTCAGGTGTGTTGCACATGGTGGATGTTACACTGCCACGGCACTTGCAASTGTGCAGGTGTTGCCTCAGCGTTTAGAGGGTTTTGAATCTCTGCTGTGTATGTTCTCACTCTGTTGCACTGCTGTGGSATCTGTACTGTGAGAATTCTGTGCCACTCCTGCACATCCAGTTTTGGTCCAGGACTAGAAAAGCCTCTTTCAAAGGGTATATATCTGTAACAGAACAAACCTTTTAAAGAAGAAATTACATCTTCAGCCTTTATTCTTACTTTCTCTGGCCATTCCTAGTGACTCTCCTCTGCTTTCTTTCTACTGCTGTCATGACATCTGTGGGTAATAAAAACTGGATAAATGCAGGATCCCACATGGATAAAAGGCGTTGTCTGTCCACTGAGCTGACAGCACTGAATTTTTCCTTGCGAATTTTTGCTTCTGCTTCTCAGATGTAGGGGATTCCCATGAAGAATTTTTCTTCTCTTGCAGCTATTGCTGGCCTCTGAGTAACAGTGTCTGTGCTTTTTTTCCTTTTGTCATGTTCCCATGGGATGGCATCCCTTTGAAGAAGAACTTATGAGAAAATCCAAAGATGAAAGGAGGAGGCAGAGGAGAGGAAGAACGCCTGGCTTTCTGTGAGCAGATGTTCTTAATTTTCATACCAGCTGTGCCATTCYTGGACTTCTTTTCAGTGTTCACCACCTGGCCTGGGACAATCCAGTGGTGCTTTTGGGCAGGTTTAGCAAACACCACACAACTCTTTCTTTTTTAAGTTAGAGGTTATGAAAGTTTTGTGAACTTTTTGAAACAGTCCCCCCTTTTAATATAAATTGGCTGGGGAAATTTAATTAACAAATGAATCTCYTCCTATCTGCTCCTCTGCAAAAAAGGAAGGTGGGAGTTGGAAAGCAAACTCCTGCTCTGACTAGCAGGGAAATTGAGGCCAGTGAGGACTTTGCTGTCTGCAGCTGGGATTTTGCTAAGACCATTTGGACATTAAAACTCCTGTCCTAGCTGTCATGGCTGGAAACTAAGTTCAGCAAAGGGAATTCTTTGCCTCCTTCTGTAAGTGACCTCCAGCTGCTGTCACAGGACTATTTTTAGCAAGCATTTGCCAGCAACAGCGTCTTTTCAGAAGCACATGAGATGCTTTTATTTTGTGTGTCTTTTAACTTGGTGGTACTGCAGCCAGTTGTAGGTGACAGAAAGGTGATGGAAAATGTTTTCTGGATGGAAAGTCATGCTGAGACCAGCCCACTTCCTGCCCCAGGGAGATGCTGCTGCTCTGAAGCCTGGCTGTAGGCATCGTGGGAGGGTTCAGACATGGGCCAGTAACCCTGAGTATTAGGCAGCCAAAAGCACGGCTCGAGAAGGGATTTAGCCCTAAACCTGTAAGTAAAACAGCAGCCAACCGCAGATGCAGGGGCAAGTGGAACCCTCATTAACAATACAGCAAATAAAGCTGTTATCTTCTCTGTAACTCTGCACAGCTAGCACAATCATTGTACAGTATTTGCCTGAAGGGATGACACATAGAAGATAGCATAAAGCAAAGGTTTTGGACTGGTGAAGGTCATCGGTGCTGCTTTTGTACTGTTGAAGTACTGTTCTTTCTCTTTTTTTTTTCTTTAATTATCACACTCAAGCAGTTTTTACACCATTTTCTACGTGGTCCACAAGAGGAAAAAAATAGAAAGAAACAAACTCAGCTTTTTGGATATAGGGTGGAGCATATCACAACACATAGTTTCCTGTGTGGCCTCTCACCGAAGTGTTGCTGCTCTGGGAAACTCACACATGCCCCCCAGGGGATGGAGCAGCTGTGCTTATCCAGGACAGGGTCTAGCCCTGCTGAAACAGGAGCAAAGCTTCATGAACGCTGCAGTCATCTGGGCCAACCTGAACCTTCTTTGTCTGCTTGTGTATTCTAGTTTAATACCTCTGCTACATCTGCAATAATTTCAYAGGACTATTTTCTGTGCTTATCAATTTGAGAGGAGATTGACATTCTCTGCTTTTTAAATTTGGGATTGTTTTAACCRTCTCTTCTGCCTGGTCCAGCAGGCACTTCAAGGCCAAAGGACTACCTAAATGTCACTTTAACAATGTAAAAGGCTGCAACCATGGGAGGTGGTTTTGCACCTGATACCGAAGAGCTAGGTTTTGCAAAAGCCTCCTCCACTCTGGGTGCCCTGAGGACTCAATTGGCAAGGCTGTGGTGCTGCAGGGATGTGATGTTTGTTTTTATTCTACCTTGCAGAAAGCAGCTGGCAGGGCTCCTAGAAGCAGCCTCAAGTGTCTGAATACTGAAAAGGGGCAGTAGGGTTTTAATCAGTTTTAAAAGTACGTGAAGGCTTCTCGTGCTGCTTCCTCCAGCAAACACATTAAATTGTAATTTCCTGATTGCCACACTAATCATGACAACCGTCTAATACTGTTGATTTACCAGAGTTGGTCCCTCAACTTCATCCTTTTGTGATTGCTGCTGCAGATACCTATTAACTGTTTCCTCTTATTTAATCTCAAAGACTGTAYGTGGCTCCCAGTAAATGTACCAGGAAAGGTAGTTAAAAACATCCAGCAAGATCTTGGCCCAAGATGTTAAATCCAAAAGCAGTGCACATCAGTGACGTAGACCTGCTGTATGTATATGTACCTGCACATGCAGATACCCCTTGGGATAGGGCTCTGGTTTGTTKCTTCGTAAATCTATGGACTTTGCAAGTGCACGGGAAGCCAGGGAATACTTGACACTGTCATTCTGATCATATTTTGCAGTTAAAATCCACATATGTTAGTCTCCCATTTACAGCTGCTACAGAGATAAGAGCCAGGCAGCTCTAAACAATTAGTCCAGTGGTAAACAMGGAAAACGTATTTCCCTCCTGCTTTCTAATAATAATGTGAGTAACTAATCTGAAAGCTTTAAAAAGCAGCCAAATGAGAGAAAGGAAAGTTAAATCTTTAGCAAAGTCCATTTCTGTCAGCCAGGATGAGGGCCAAAGGTGTTGCATGTGCATGCCTACCTCCTCAAACCTTTTCATCAGAGATTATTATGGGGTGGTCAGATACTCCAAAAAGCAGAATGATAGATACAGTAGGAAGCATTTCTCTACCTTATATGAGCTGATATAATATCCAAGAAAATAGTGTGCAGGGTAGTTTTTGGCACATAAATCCAAGGTCCAAATTAGGACATTTGAAGTCCTATCTATGTGCCACAGACAAAAAAATAGATTTAGCTGCAGTGTCCTGACCAGAGCCTGATGGATCTAGAGTCCTGGTTGGCTACACTAGTTTGTTTTTATTTTTTGACTGCAGCTTATTTTTAGCATGTCTCAGACTGATGTATTGCATCCCTGGGAAGGTCTGTATTTCTCTGCATGAACTGTGGGCTGTTTATATATCAATTGGCTGCATTTCTGGGGATCCTGAGGGATGAGATGTACTATATAAATTTAAACTGCTTTTATTGTTATGCCTTAAGGATAAATATAAGTCAAGTAATTTGAAATTTGCTACCACTTGGAAGACAAGTTTTCTCTGGTGTCATTCCCATTTTTCATGTGGAAGCTTTGTTAAAGCATGTTGCTCAAAAAGCTTTAAGCTGAAGCTCACTGCCTGATGCAGCAAAGCTTGCTGCCACATGTGTTTCAYGTAGGAAAAAAGGAGTCTTGGGGAGGGAGAAGAGAAGTAAAGGCAGGTCTCTTGGGCTTGTTTTACTACTTTCCCTCCAGCAATAACGTTGCTCCCCATCAGTACAGCCCCCTGTGTGGTTGCAGACAGAGTGGAAGCACCTGATAGGGAA